TTTTTTAGGGTTTTTGAAAGGGTTTATAACACCTTAATAAACCCTTTAAAAGGGTTTGTGACACGTTGCACTTTCATAAACCCTTTTTTCGTTTTTTATTCTACGGATATTTTTTACAGTGCAGAATTCACCACAAATAACTTAAAGCAAAAACAAAGAGTATTTCTTTCATCTATTAGTTATACATAACATTCAATATCTACGAAACAAAGTTTAAAAAAACATTTCTTTCATTTCTTACACATATCCATTTAATTTCTATGAAAAAAATCGTCCATTGTTGTGTTTGACTCCTTTCGAGTCAATGAGGAGTTGAGTGAGCTGGGAATCTAGTTGAGAGATAAGAGAATGTAGTTGTGAGTGTTGAGTTGCAACTAAAAGGTGCAATCGCCTGACCATTTCCATGACCTCGATGACCTTGGGTGGTGTTCCAGTTGGCATGTCGTCATCTTCGTCGTTGTAGTGCTGTTCATCGACGATTATCAGGCTATTGTCGACGTCGCTCCACTCGTTGAAAGCTGGAGTCTCTTCGTCCACTTCAATGAACTCAATGGCTGAGAGGGTTCGTCCACCGATCAGAGATGGGCGAGTCAAGTCAAAAATGACTTAAGTCCAAGTGAAGTCAAGTCATTTTTGACTGACTTTGACTTGACTTGAACAACTTTTCAATGACTCGAAGACTTGACTTTGGCTTGGATAGTCCTTTTTATCAGGGACTTGTAACTGGGCATGACTTGACTTGGATCGAAAATTTTTTAACTTGACTCGACTTGTGAATTGCCGAAAAAACATGAGTCAAGTCAGAAATATTTCTGCAGCTATTTTTTTTGCTCTACTAGAAAGTGCTACTGTCCAGTCAGGTAATCCTTGAAAATAACGCCGTTTTAATGCGATAAAAGCACATTTCAGGTCGTTAAAACGCGTTTCTACCATACAAATCGTTTAAAGGCACCAAAATGTGCGCTTTTAACGCGTAATAACGTCGTTATTTTTAACGTTTGCCTGACTGAGTGGCTGTGGCATTCATACTCGACGGAAAATTGCGCATTTCTCATGATAGCGAATATGCATAGTCAATATGCAATAAGAAATGAAAAATTTCACAACATCATCATCTAAAGAAAGGTTTTTCTCTCAAAGTAGCTTCATATTGCGACAACATAGATCGAAAATGTCAAGAAAGACATTAGAAATGTTAACAACGCTAAAATGTAATCAAGGACTAATGTAAAATTTTTGTTGAATACATTGATACAGGATTAAATTATAAAATTTTATAGAAATATCAATCTCATGACTTGACTTGTCAAAAGACTTGACTTGCTAAAGACTGTGACTCGTGACTTGGCTTGACTTCACTTGACTTGGGCAAAAAAGCCTGACTTGCCCATCTCTGGGTGCCACCGATGTTGAGATGAGCAAGAAGTAGATCTAGATTTTGTAAGGCTGTTGAAATATCGTTAGTAAGAATTTCTTCGTCGGAATCAGAGTCACTATTTATTGTAGTATTGTCTACGTTTTCGATTGTTGAACAGACAAAGCTTGCCGTTCGGAATGTATTACAAATTGTTGATTGAGTGACAGCTTGCCAAGCTCGTTTCGTCCAGTGAACCGCGTCAAGTGCTGTAATGATGATGTCATCGGATGAGGTGGCGACGGCGTAGCGTGATAACACATGTTTGACAAGGTATTGACCTAAATAAATGCATAGTGCTCTCTAACAAAATAATAAGAATCAGGATACTCACGATAATAATACTTGAAATTCTTAATAATGCCCTGGTCGAGTGGTTGTAGTTTCGATGTTGTATTGGGAGGAAAGAGCTTGAGAGAAATGTTGGAATATTTGATATCGGCATTGTGGCAGGGCGCATTGTCGATAAACAATAAAATTTTGCGTTTTTGCTTGATCATGATTTGATTCACGCAAACGAGCCAGTCATCGAACAGGCTGGCAGTCATTCAACTTGTTCGATTCAATCGCCATGTAACAGGTAGTTCTTTAATATTTAAATGTTTGAAACAGCGCGGCTTAGCCGCTTTGCCTAAGACATAAATATTAGTACAGATGCATGAAGGAAATTAATCTTAAAGTAGGAACTTACCGATAAGAAGCGGTATTAATTTGCCTGTGCCTGTCATGTTTGTGCAAAGGAGAACGGTGAAACGTTCTTTCGATCGTTTGCCACCCTTGCAAGCCTCCTTGGCCATAACGAGTGAACGATCGGGTAGAGCTTTAAAGAATAAGCTGGTTTCATCGGCATTGTAGACGTCGTTGGGATCTTATTGCTCGATTATCGATGGAAGTCGCTTTTTCCACTCGTCAACAGTTTTAGGATCCACTGCTGCTGATTCTCCACATATAACTCGATGTTGGATACTGTGGCGTATTCGAAACTTCTCCAACCAACCATTGCTAGCTTTGAAGTCGCTAGCAGCCGTTCCATCCAGTTGTTGACGAACCTATCGGGCTCGTTCTTGTAGAAGAGGACCTGATACGGGAATGTTATTGCTACGTTGTATCACGAATCATTCATACACTTGTTGATCGTACTGTTAACTGAATTCATCTCGTAGATTACGCTTCTTAATTGAACTTTCATTTTGTTCATAACTTTCAATATACTCGACCTCGCGCTTGATAATGTTAGATACACTGCCGATTGAGATCTTATATCTGTCAGCAAGTGTACGGTACGAAACCTTTTCTTCATTTTCACGAATCAACTGTATCTTTTCAGAGAGGGTTAATGTGTGTTTCGTCGTCATCACACAATCGTAAATAGAAAAATGTTTTGTTCTTTCACATGCAAGTGATCATCTTTACGCGTACTATTCATTTTCATTGTTTCTTTTGTTCTATACATAGGACGAATTTTATTTCTGATCAATAGACCGTCGATTAATTAGTGTAACACTGTATAAGAATACACTTTATGTTCTTTTTTTAAATTTTTATCTCTTTTATCTCTTGTTTCATACATAAACTTATAATTTGTTTCACATTTGTTCATTTGATAGAGATTTTCTAAGCTGAAGGGACCAAAAAGAGCGTTCATTGTGCAGAGTTTGGAGGTGTTCATTATAAAGAGGTTCATTTACAGCAAAAATTGATCGGGGGGACCGAGATACGCGTTCAAATAGAAGGTGTTCACTTTAGAGAGGTGTTCACTTATAGAGGTTTTCCTGTATGTATATATTATTCATGTTCTTATGTGTCCGAAAATTATCTACAATTTATATTTGTCAATAATTGTTGTCATTTATCGTTCAATAGAAAGTATAGATCTGTACTGCCTGTGTAAAATCTAATAAAAAATTCTATCAAAATAAATGTCCGTAATATTTGTCTGGTAATCTAACTCTATTTGAAATATTTTTGCTCGAATATTGAACGATGCGAAATTAATGTCAACATTTATTCTTCGAAATAGCAAATTATCTCATGACATCGCTGAATTTCATGTCAACAAGGAATACAATATATTTAGAAAAATGGGACGAAAAAAAGAAATAAATGATTCAAATGTAGAGTGGATAAGGTCAAATAATCTTATAAAATCATTAATGCAATAAATTAACATCAGATCTCTTTTGATCGGCGAAGAATAACTATAAGAGGATGTGTAGAAGTTCAATTGCAGCACAAGCAATATTGTCGAAACGAGAAGATGGCTAAAAGAAATACTAAAAGTTTACAATGAGTAATTTTCAAATCAGATAGAAGACCAGGAGATTTTATTGGAAAAGCAAAAGAACATTTACCGGAGTTTTCTTTGAAAAAGGTGCCATTTTGGCTTGTTACTTTCTTCTAATTAAGTAACTATACTAAAATTTACCGATAAAAAATATAAGCGTACACATGTTTATCGGGTGTGGCTATGAGTATGATTCTCTTCTTCACTCTTACCCACATCCACTTGTGAAAATATATTTTATTCATAAGTTTTTCGTGTCACAACAAAATTTATTACAAGGTCATAAATTTGGCAAGTCGACATTTTTAAATATGACACTATTAACAATAATATATACATAGAGATTCAGAAAAGGATATTGTTTTTACGAGGATACCTAATCTACATTGTGACATAATTACATTGTTTTCGGTTTCAAATAAAAGATAAACATTCAAAAACAAAAAAAAATCTATATATTTTTTTCTCTTCGTTATTCAACTCAATGCTTTACTTGGTAAAAAAAAGGGTCGTCTCCTTCATGATTTAACCTATTATTGGGATGTGGCAACATATTTTGAACTTCATGCTGCCCAATGCGATTCGTCAAAAGCATGTTTAGCTGCCTGTTATGTCAGTAGATACATAAGACGAGCATCTTTATCCCTCGATCATAGTTATGAGATGGAAACCCACTGGTGGAAGAGAGAAATGGAGATAACGCACATATCTGGTTGGTTGTTTTTTGTTTTTGTGTGAAAAAGAAGGATTGAAGGAAATAAACTGGAAAAGGGCCTAACACTACCGTACATATGTATTTATTAAATCCTCCAATATGGTATTTAGAATCGGCAATAAATAATTTAAAAATTCTTCATTAAGCACCACGTATGCATGATCAACAGAAACTTCGTGAACAACCTCCCACAAGTTCCTATGATCAAGATGTTTATAGTTTTTGGATAGATTATTTTAGTGATACCATTAATTCAAATTCAAATTCAACACAAACCGAAGAATAAGAATTATCAGCCCAAGTACCAGTAAGTATCGTAAAGGAAAAAACGCTACAACACGCAGAATGCTTCTTTGTTGAAGATTCTTTGTTCTTGTCTGTGATAATTATGAAAAAAACGATGGTACAACATTAAAAAATGTTTACGTTGAATCACATTTACAATTAAATTTTCATACCGTACACTTGAAAAAAAAACTACAAACAGATGTAACTGTGAGAACTATTGAAATGAATTCAATTAGATCAATTGTGTATGAATTTATTAGGATTATTTGCAATAGATAAATATTGTTTTATTTTCCTATAGAAATGTTAAACAAGATAATCGATTTGTTTCTTTTGTGCTTATAAAAATGCTGAAGCTTTTTTATCTGTTGAACTTCAAATATTTTTCTCATCAGCTGAACGTCGTATAGCGTAGGTATAAATAGAAAAAAACAAATGAATAATTCTATTGAATTTTCTTAAACATAGATTCAATGAAAAAATGTCAAAATATCGTTTACCAACAAATATTTCTGATTTTCATTTTGATAGAGGTATTCTAATGGCAGCGATTATTCAATGTCAAGAACATTTCAATGTCCTGTGAATAAAAAAAAGTTTAACAAATCAACAAAACATGACTATTATTACATGTGAAAAAGATAAACTAGTGTACCGTTTGATACTGTTCTCATGGTAAAAAT